TGTCTTTCATTCTTACTTTCTTTTTATGACATTTCTCATTCTTTCTCTACCCTCTGTGTCCACCCTCAGGTGCAGACTGAATTATAACCTACTACCTAATAGTTACCCTCTGTCTACTACTCTTTCTTCAGGGCAATACCACACACAAGCTCGACAAATATAAATGAGAAATACACACTTAACAAAATGTTGGATCATTATTACGTATAAGTTAAAACATACAAGATAATCAACATAAACAGGTGAACGTTACAAAGTCATATCCAGGTGCTTGATACACTAACCAGCACAAACAGAACATGGTTGAGTTCTCCATCAGAAGCCATTGATCGATTAGCTGTAAACCAACTATTGATTGCCTCTTGATTGTTAATAGATCAGTGATAGATTGTTTGTTGTTGACTCATTAATCAAACACCTAATCTTTTGATTGATTGTCAGGGTGACACATACATTATAGGGTTTATGCTGTGATAAATGAACATGCTGTAATGAGATGACAACCGCCCATGTGCCATCCTCCGCTGCATATTATTATATAACAGAAATGCCTGTTGTTGGTGAAACTGCATGTGTCTGCATGGAAGTGTTGGGGAGGGTAAGGACCTGACCTTTACACACGCAATTTCAGACCAACGACTGCGAAGTAGGTTGTCACTGTGCAGGACAGAAAAGCCCTGTAGTTAACATCCATCTGGAGTCACTCAGTCAGTCAGCGCTGACCTCAATTGTAAAGCAAAAGCATCATCAGTGATGTTGTTTAATATGTATCTGCGTCAGTAAATGGCTTCTGTTTATACAGCAGCTTTCCTGTTCATGTTTATTCATAAACTCTGCAACTGGTAATTATTATTAGCATGTTGTATGTGGCCTCAACGCAGTACATTTTTGGTATGTTATTTAAGCATGGGTTTACATTTCAATGACTCAAAGATACTGTGAGGGATCACCGTATAGGCATGAAAAACAAAATGATGAAAAAAACCCAGAGAGGATGAGAGTGTTATCGTAGGACAGGTGGTGTGTTCAGCAGGGAGCAGGTAGGTGCGTGGGCGGGACTTTGCACCCCACTGCTACTCTGATTGGACAGCTAGAAGGTTAGCTGTGACATCAATGTCCTTGCCTTGGGCTTGTGACTGTGTCCAGTATCAATAAAGCACACACACACACATTTTGAAACATTGTGAATGACCGATGAGTGAAATCTGCTTTCAAATTGACTAGCCTCAGGTCAATACTGTGATAATATTAATTTCTCCTGGGGAATATAGGACACACACACACACACACACACACACACACACACACACACACACACACACACACACACACACACACACACACACACCCTTGATCCCCATCACACTCTTCTCTTCTATGCAGACTGCATTATGTGGGGGTTAGTGAGGGGCATGAGGACATACTATGAAAAGACAATATGTTTGTCTATACATGTTTATTCAACTTTCCTGTAGCTTTACCTTTCATATCTATGGATCATATTGAAGGAGAGAAAGCAGTGTTGCGTTATGGATAGTAAGCATGTGTAATTGGTGAAAACATAACAATTTTGATAGGAAACAGCTCAAAAATGTCATACGGTGTGTACCACGGATGCTATTGTTTAAGCCTTAAGGAAGGTTCAGCACTTTTAACCTAAGGCAAAACCATTTTTGTATTTAACAGTGCATGTGTTTGCACTCGCTCTTTAGCTTATGCAGCTATTGTTTGAATATAAAAATCCTTGTGGTCACAGGAATTGTGTGACACTTTCTCAAAGCAAAAATAGTTTAGTTAGAAATTACTTTCTGCCCCCTAGAAAATAAATGATCTGACAGTATACCTATAAAAGGATGTGACCATTGAAAAACTCATGTAAACAAACCTTGGCCAAAAGAAATCTTCACTTGTTCATCATTAACTTATTCGATTTGTCTCATACTACTTGTTAATCATTAACTGTGCAATCCATTTATAAATTGAATTTGGCTTTTAAGTGCCATCATTAGAATCATATAAAAAGCCACAGCCAAAGCCACAGGGGCTCCAGCCTCCTGCCGGTGGCAATCTAGTTTCCACATGCACAAATCACACATGTTGACAGATCAGTAGGGCTTTTTTTCCTTTGAAATTCATACGCCTCAAAACCACCCCAAAACATTTAGTAGCTAAGAATCGAATGCTATAAAGATATTAGCTTTAATGCTATATGGTATTTACCATCTGACTCCAGACAGTCATTAACATTTAAAGGGTTGCCATACTGCAACTTTAAATGCATCAAAATCCCTGATATGAGCTGAAACATGGTATAACTAATGTAAGTTAGGTCTCACATGTGTAAATTCACTTGAAATGTATGAACATGTAAATGTACATGTTTGTGCGCATCGGTATAAGAGATAGAAAGAGACAGACGGGCAGAACAAGGGCAGAGAAACACAGAGAAACATTTCTTCCATATGTGCCTCAGATATTAGGACAGCTGGATTCTGAATACTTGAAGAATGCTGTTTATCTAACTTGTGGGAGGCAATTACTTACACTGTTCTGCTCGAAAACACAGAGGCACATGCAGACAAACACTAACACATTTTCACAAATATGCACGCCACATACACACTTCATTAACCGAATAACAATGACTAGATGCTTGTTCTTGCACAAAACAGAAATACCACACACACACGGTGTGGAAGCATACACTTCATGTTATTACCAGACGGAGAGGAAGTCTAATTCATTAATTCCAAGCTCACTGTGGGAAGGTAACAATCATATTTAGTCTAAATTAATCACTTGGTGATGAATGGTTCTCATCCAACCTGATTTTACTCACTAAAGGCCTCATTTGATCATTATTTTCTGACTTTAAATTACATGTCAGTCCTGTTACACACTTAGCACCTGTTGCTTGGTAACGGACAAATGCATATGCATTTTAGTCTTAAGAATAGCAAGCTTTGTGGTAAAAAATGCAGTGTCCATTTGGAAAATTTACCGGCTTTTTGCCTTGTTCAAAACAAGCATTTACATCAGTGTACATATATGGGTAGGTGCGACTGAAGAGGCCCAGGTACAAAGAGAAGCACACCTGCAATTATTTCAGCAGAAAGCTTTTGCAGTTATACAAGCATGTGATCAGCATGCCAGCATAAGTAAATGGATGAGGAACTGTGTGTGTTCCCAGAGATCATTACAGCATTAACAGCTGCTTTCTGGGCCTGTGTGAAGTTGGAACTGGAATAATCCAATAATACCTGCTTTATATATATATGTGTGTGTTTGTGTCGGTATAGCTAGTTCAGGTATCCTCCACTGCCCATAGCAGTGTTAATATTCTACACACACTTGGTGCGGTCCAACCTCATTAATCATGTTTGTGAATGTCTAATCTCAACGTTACTTGCGCCAGTTTCATTTTCATGGCTGTCTGCAAGATTTATAATGGCGTTTGGAGAAGGTGTATTTGGTGTGTGTGCGTGTTTGTGTGTGCGAGATGTAATACATTGTTACGGAAGCATGCTCTTAAATGTGTCATCTTGTTGAGGAGAAGAATGTACTGAAAGTGCAGTTAATGCTCCCAGCGGGGTTACCAGCATGTTGATACACACATCGGTTCCTTTGAATATCTTTTAGTTTTCCTGTATGTCACAATTGAACATGCAGTTCGGTGTGTGTTTAAGAGCAAGTGTGTATATGGCTGTGGATATGTTTGTATCTGGAAGAGTGGGTGTGTATGCGATCACAAGTGTCCAAAAAGCTTGACCAGGTAACGGTGGCATGTGTCCCTGTGCGTTACCATGGTGACAGTAAGTGGCCTTTCAAGAGATGTCCATCCAGATGATGAGATCAGATTACATCAATGAAGGCGAAGAGTGGAAACAAACACAGGGGTGAGTAGGGGAATGAGTATAGAGACAGGGTGCAAGAGGGGTGGGGGGATGGGCGAGCTGTTAATAGAGTGTACCAAAGGGATCATCAAATACACACACAGCTGCAACAGGATACACACATGTACACACAAACATCCGGGAAACATCCACATTGCTTTGTACCACAATCAGGGACACACTATTGAGCTCACCTAAAACAAAATGTGTATTGTTGATTCATCTGAACATTATTTTCTAGATTAATCAAATTATTTTTGGCCTTCAAGTTCAAGGTGATGCTTTTAAATATCTGAAAGAAAATAACCATATATCAAAAACTGAAAACGTAAAAATTACTCAGTTTTTGATATATGGGTATTTTCTGTCTTGCCATGTTTGCATAACAAATATTGATTATAGATTATCATAATAGTTAATTATTCATTTGTGGATTGACTAATCAATTAGTCGACCAATCTTCCCACCTGTAGCACGCACTAACACACACACAAATACATACCCTCAAACACACCATCATATCAAGTGCACGCTGGTTCTGTGGGGCAGTGGCAGCCATTGAGTGAGGAAGGACAAACCGATGTCATTAACTGAGACTAAGAGAGTGTGCTTGGAGAGCTGGATGTGGATGACCCTAAATGGCGGACAGCGGGGCTGTTTGTCTAGGCGAAGGCTGTCTAGAGACATTGATCTCAGACAGCTGACCAATGGACTGACAATCACTGAGAAATAACTGGGAGCTGTTTTTCAGTGGAACAGAAATTGGTGGATACATTTTTTTCTCATGGGAACCTTAGTATTTGATCTAATTATTCAAACTAAGCAGACATTTAAGGCTAATCTAGTGTGGTTTACTAAACAGTGTGTGCTTCTATCAGTGCTAGAATAATGAAGGAAGAAAATGTGATATTATCTCAATCTTACATGTATATTTTTTATCTTTGTTCACATTGTGGATTAAAGCTGTGAACTTTAAATAAACCTGAAGATTCTCAATGAAGTCCCTTCATTTGCTGTTACAGAAGAGCAAATAATTGTGTCAATGATTTACCGGTTAACACATTGTCATCCTTATTTCTGATTTAAATAGAAAATATATAATTTTACCTTCAAGTTCCTCATCATCATCATCATCATCATCATCATCATCACCACCATCACTTATGTCTATGGCACAATCTTCATCGTCCTCAGTATACGAGATGTCAGCTATAAGTCACCACACAAGTGAATACATAATTGATAAACAAATATTTCTATTAAATACGTCTTGGCTTTCTACAGTTAAGTTACTAACACTATCCCAGCACAACACACATGATAATATTACTACTATATGCTGACCACAAAAGATTTGAGTACTACTTAATCTGCAAGTCAATGTTTGAGAGGGCAAGGGAGGATAGAACCATGAGTGTTATAGGCTATTAAAACGTAATATTTCATACAGGAAAAGGGATTTCTACACTTGTCAGGATCAAACCTTCTCGCTCACGTTTGGCAGTCCCCGAGTTTAAACTTAAACGGAGAGCAGAGTGTCATTTGGGCTTTTTGCTTTCTTTAGTTTGAGTCTAATATGTGGTATGGTTTACTGTGACTAATCCATGTGGGATTAAATAAACAAAAAAACTAATCCTAATAATAATAACAACAACAATAAAGGTATCATCTCAACCTCAAGTGCTTTAAAGTTGCCAAAACAGCTGGAGCAAATTGAGGCCAGACTCCTTCGTTTGTGTGCTCTTTCAAATCTTTTGTTATCAATATATAACTCTATATTGCTACAGACCCATTACAGTACATACTAGTAATTTCAGCTCACTTTAATGAACCAAGATAAAATCACAAAACCAAGTCTTACGAGTTAAAACTACTTTGACATAAATCAAATGCTATGAAGATTTTTGCTATAACGCTACAGTATATTGTATTTACCATCTGAGTCCAGACATTCATCCGCCACTACGAGAAGTAGACAAGAAATCATCATATTGTGCATTTCATAAATATTCAAGAAAAATATCAAATCAAAAAGGAACAGCTACTAACACACTTGACAGGGAATGTACTACAGTCTACTGCTGACAACTAAAGTATGTCTCCATGAGAACAAAAATTGTCTTCATTAAACTACACAGTGGGACACATCTATTTCTGTAGGATTTATAATTTCCCTCGCCTCAACCTCCAATACTACCAGGGTAGTTAATACACAGTTATGGTTATGCATATGTAAGCATGGGCGCTAACACACATCACACACACAGACATTTAGTGAGATTTACCCAGTCTGATCTCATCACACTCCTCTGGTTATGGCTAGTGATACACAAGGGTGGTGAAGACATTAACAGTGAATCAAGTTGTCCAGTGTTGACACACACACCACATGCACACACACACACACCACACCACACGACACACCACACACACACACACACACACACACACACACACACACACACACACACACACACACACACACACACACACACACACACCAAATGAGCCCTATTACTATTAGCAGCTCATCCATTTATGAATGCAGATTAGATGAAATGCATTATGTAACAAACCAAGGGTCATCCATTCCTAAAGGAAGTGGCTTCTCAGGCCAAGCCTCTCTGTGCAGCGGGGATGGTCACTCCCTGCTAGGACTAATGCACTAAACACCATTTGGTCATCAAAACAAACGTTATGCATAGAACCTGAACTGCCTGTGCTTGAAGATGTTCAACAAGCAGTTGAAATCCATGACGTATTTCTCATATATTCTGGGAGTACGGAAGTATAGTGAATGCAACACAGTAATGGCTATGATGGTCAGTGGTGCATATCACAGCCAGATGGTTTACTTGGCTCGTTCATGGTGCTGGCAGCCATGCGACTGTAAGCTTGTTTCCTGCATGGCCAACATGAAAGAACGGCAAAATACTGTGTGTTCACATTAGTGGCAGGGTTATGGATTCAGCTGCACCGACAGAAAAGCCAGTGACAGCAGATTCATTCAGGAGATGGAGGCACACTGGCTGCTGTTGAGTCATCACATTTCCGATAACATTTGTGTCAACATCAGTATGCATCACTGTTTCAGACAATACTGTATCATTCAGAAAAAACATGAGATTTAATTGTTAAATCTGAATTGGTGTTAGTACGTCCTGTGGAAATGACAGCTCTGTTTCTCAAAGACCAGACACACTACTATAAAGGTGAGGCATCAAAGCATACAGGAGGGGATCCACTGATAAACGTTTTTTAAGGTCACAAAAGCTGGGAGAAAAAAACATCTAGGAATACTTAAGTTTGTATTCAGGCAGAGGGAAGGGGTTTAGACCAGTGTTTGTGGATTGTTTGCTATTGAATGTTTCTGAGAAAGAGGGGAGAGAGAGAGATAACATTGCGTGCATATGTTGTGGTTGAAAACAATAATACAAAATTGAAATTCCAAATTGACCCTTAATCTGTACTTCCTGTGCCTCTGTAGATCTGAAAGGAACATGAGAGGTCTCAGCATGAGTGCGGCCTCTATCTCTCTCTCCAGCCTTTCTGAGGACATGAGGGAACTGTTTCCATTAGGCTAATGTGGGTTTGATCCATGGTGATGTATGTGAAGTGGCAGGATGGAGGGTCAACGTGGAGCTGGGTGTCTGTGGACAGGTGATAAGAGGAGGGAGGAAAGCAGTAAGACGTTCAGGGGGGAAGTCATCTCAGAGAGTAAGAAGGACACAATGTGTGTATGCATACCAACAACCAACCGCACACGGGACCTGTTTGAATTTGCATGCGCTCTCCTTGAAGTAATCACAGATTTGTACTGAGATTGTGCACATATCTCAAGTGGATTCAAACAGGACCAGGAACTCATTACTACACTCGGTAGGTGTGGGGTTGATACACTCAAGTGTATGGGAAAGAAACAGGGTGAGAAGAATATTACGGACTTTACCTTCTACGTCATTATGGTCATAGTCTTGAGTGGAGCATGGATGGAGAGACAAAAGCACAAACACATGAAAGCGAAGCCACTGCACTTCTTTGTAAAGCAGAAAACAGCACATTTTTAAGCTGGATGAAATGATTGTTCCCATGTCAAGCCCAAACAACACTCAAATGACTTCCAGGTGCTATCACATAACTGCTTTACAGCCAAAAACATACTGAAGTGATGGTGTGCTTTGTATCTGAGACAGATGAGAGCATGGGAATGTCTCCTCTTTTGTTCTGCTACAAACCCAGCTCATGGGAGACACATGTAGCCATGAACTTCACAGGAGTTCCTAAACATACCTAGTAGTGATGAAGTCCAGAATATTAACAGCTGTAGTGTACAGAAGTAGTTACAGCATCGGGGAAGGATCAAATAAACAAGTACACATACAAAAGCAGACAATTTACCTTTGACTCTTTCTCCTCGGTTGAGTTGGATCTCTCCCTCCCCCTGTGGCGTGTAGGGCTTGACCACGATGAAGGTACGTCCCGGGACAGCGCTGTAGAGTTTCCGTTTGGGCCCGCGGGGGCCTGTCAGCGCTGGGGGGGTGTGATGTGGGGGGCTTGGGTCTCGCTGCACTGAGCCAGGGCTGTAAACAAACACATATGTTACTGTGGTGATTCCGGGGAGCTGGTAACTGAAGCCTGTGGTCACCGACATGGTTGTCAGCGGGACAGCAACCTAGTGACACCCCCCGGTTGCTAGGCTGACCAGGGACCGGTTCATAAACAAGTCCAGCGCCTGCCGATCAACAGTCAACAGTCAGTGTTCCATGGGACATTCATGAACGGAGAGGACACTCCTCCCATCCACTCTCCCCCCTCCTCCTCTTCTTATTCCCTCTCTGCCTTCTTTTAATAGCACAGACAATATCCTTCTTGCTCCCTTTTACCCTCTCCTTCTATCTCTCCACTCTCCCCCGCATCCTAACCGAGGTGGAGGCAGAAATGTTTAACGATAAGAGGGACTGCACAGTGTCCTTCTCTGTGTGGGTCTGTCACATCCGTCTGAAAGCTCCTCTTTACTCAAACACATCCTGAGTTGGGGCTCCAGAAGAAGACCCCCCCTCCAGAGAGGCAGAGATGTCCCTATGTCCCCAGTTCAAGTTGCTCCAGGCTGGGTTACAGACGCTGCCTTGTCCTTGGGTCCTGGTCCTCCTGCTGTGGAGGAGAGAGGCTGGGTCTGCTCCCGACTCCCCACTCCTTCTCCTGGGAGTCCCGCCGCGTCTGCCTCTCCTCTCCCCTCCACCCCTCACACACACACGCTCGCTCACACACACACTGGCAATGGCAATGCTGCTGCTGCTACTGCTGCTGCTGCTTGTGCTGCTGCGCTCCTCGGCTGCCCTCCCCTTTGACGGTTCGCTCGCTCTCACACACCAAAAGCGCTCTATGTGCATTCTAGCCGTGCGCACAGGCACATACACAGACAGCCCCCCCCACTCCTGCTACCATTGCACCTCCGCTTGCATGGCATACACCGCCGCCACCACCACCAGCATGTTGCTAACACATCGCTAACAGTCACATACACAATCTGGTCCCAGAGTACGATTGATCTCCTGCTGCCTGTCTGACTGCAAGCGTGCATGCGCCATGGCTCCCTGAGGCAGGCTGTGAGTGTGTGTGTGTGTGTGTGTGTGTGTGTGTGTGTGTGTGTGTGTGTGTGTGTGTGTGTGTGTGTGTGAGTGCTTGTGTGCAGTAGGGCGGGGGGCAAAAAGCTCCAGCCCATTTAGTTTAATTGTTGCTCCTCCCTCTTTCTCTTTGCCTTGAATCCCCTCCTTCTTTCTCTCATTCTCTCGCTTCCATTTCACCCTCTAATCCCTCTCAACATTTCTTCGCATTGCATCTCCACTCTCTCTCTTTCCTTCCTTCCCTCTCTCTCTGGCGGTGAATTCTAATACAGCAGCGGCAGAGCTCCGCCTAGTATTCATTCATCACTACTTTGCCACCACTGTGCAGGTTACTTTCAGTCTGCTGTTTGAAGTCACAAGCTTTCTCTCAAGCACATTTTTGAAACAAATTAAAAATACAATTAATACAAATATAAGCCGCCAGCAGTTTCTCCTCATGTTTACCTGAAGTAGAATTTACTTGAACGTGTGCTTATGTATTACAACTTTATTATGTCCTGATCTTTGATGTCATTCAGAAGAACATTTCCTTGAAAGACATCTTTAATCTCCTTCATCCCCATCTATCCACCTATCAACCTCATTTAGCCTCCTGCCAATCCCCCCCAGCATCAGTCACTTTATAGATTCCATTCACCTGATTCTAGCCTCATGTGCCCTTTACCCTTCGTTCTCCATTCATCTATCCACCCCTTTCCTTATTTCAAGCCTTGTTTGTCTTCTTACTTCCCCAACACTCTATTGCTTTTCTTGCACCCCCCCCCCATCTCACACAGCCTCTCTTTCTCTGGCCCCCTGCTCCATCGAAACAACGGATTGCTGACGGCTTTCCAATTACCGCAGGGACCGAGGGGCTGGGATGGCTGCCGCATGTTAATGTCTGAGCCTCAGCAATGAACATCAGCAGCGAAGAGGAGGGGAGGCTTGAGAGTCAGGTAAATAGGGCTTTGATAAAGTGTGATTTCTTAAAGCAAATCTATTTCAATGACTCAAATCTGCACCCATACCTACACATACACCATCTGTGAGGATATGTACACATGCTGACCTCAGCTGCTCCCTGCAATGAGCTGATGATGGTTGGGTTGACACATGTTATCTATATGTCAGACAGAAGGGAGGGTGGACATGGTTCCTGCTCTCTACCCAGTTTTAATGACACATTTATGTTACACACGACAAGGATTACATTTGAAACTGCACATAGATACATATGGGTTTTCAAAATGTCTATCTAGAATGTTCATGTGCAGTTTCTTTAAAATATACATGTATAACTAAATGTATTTTTCATTTAAAAAGAAAATCTACGATATAAATGTTTCTCTTTTTACATTTACAATATAAGATTACACAATTTCTCATTTGATATCTGTTGCATGTTTCATCACATTTAAGTCTAAGTTGCTATTGCAAGTATTAGTATGATGATCCACCCACGAGTTGGTAATATTTTAGATTTTAATTCTACATTATTAGTCAACATTTATGGATGTAATACAGTTGAACAGCCCTCTGGAAGGGTCCACCAGAAAGCTTTTTACAGTCACTTGTTATTTAACCAAATGAGTACAAAGAGCAGACTCTTGTTTGTTGTTATTGTGATCAGAACGCTTTAAAAACTGTTCAAGGGTTTCTAATTTATTCATCTTCAGTAGAGGTACACAATAGGGATGGGAACGATTAATCGAATATTCAACATTATTCAGGTATGAGAATATGAATTATGAATATTTTTATTATAATTGAATAATACATTTTATTTATTTTTTGGGAGGGGTGCCTAAGTTGATTACATATTATCAAATGGAATAATTCAATGTATACGACAGTGCCATAGCTAAATGTGTTCGGTCTAAAGGTGTGTTTTGCTCCGTTCACCGGTCCCTCACAGCGGGCAGAGCTGCAGGTGCAGATCTCTCTCTCTCTCGCGTCCGGTTATACTTCACTCGCGTTTATGTCCAAATCCATCAGATCTAACTAGTTCTAGCTAATGATATGGCTGCTGCCCCTCCCTACACGCAGATACGCAGACTCAAACCTCATCTTATGCCCAAATTCCAGCTGAGAGGGTCTTCTCTACAGCTGGCCTGATTGTGAATCGCCTCCACACCCGCCTCTCCCCTGAGCATGTAGACATGCTCATATTCTTAAACAAGAACGAGTATTGAATAGCTGCATTCTGTGCACAGGCCCTGTTATAGGTTGTTGATCTCTGTTGTAATAGGGTCACGTTACCCTAACTGGTTATGTTGTTCGTGTATGATCCCTCTTTCATTTAAAAATCAAGTTATGTTTTAAGCATGAAAGCTGTAGGCCTATAGCTGTCAACTGTTCAAACTGTGCAATCACCAGTGCAATACATTTGACAAATTCAACTTTGTTTCTATACTTATTTGAACATTTATTTTTCAAAAATAAAAAAAATTGTAAAATCTTTTCCCACATTCTTTTTTTTTTTTGTAGGATATGTACATTTCGGTTAATCGGTTAAACGTTTTTTTGGGGGTCGAATATTCGAATATACAATATATATTTTCAAATTCCCATCCCTAGTACACAACAAATACTCGTATCCCTATTTTGTAGATCAAGTGTTACTGTTGGATTTTGGACGATATACTGTATAGTCCACCAAGATCAATATATCAATTTTATTTTCCTAGTATGCATATTGGTTTTTCCATAGGCAATCAATGGATTAGGCATTGTTGTATTGATTTTTAACATGCTATTCGCCTAAAGAATTTAGTATAACATGATTCTCACTTTTTATGTGCCAATTTTGACTATATTTGCAAAAGCTATTTTCTTGCTCATTCGGCCTTATTGCATCTTTCCTCTCTTTTATTCTCTTGCACCGTGCCTCATTATAAGTAGCTTTTACCAGATACAGATGCAGGATCCATTACATGCACACACACACACACACACACAAGTACACACACATACACACAAAGTTCTAATGCAGAGTATTACAAAAGCTTCATCGTTTCCTAGGACACCAGCCATGCCTCTGTAACGATGGCAACTGTCAATAAAAGGAAAGAAAATACAGCCAAGAAATGTACTGTTAATTCAATAATATGAACTTGGATCTCCAAAACTGTCCATGTCTCTTAAATAATTAGGCTTACATGGATTATTGTCCCTTAATTGGCAATTTTCTCTATAGATTCTCATCTCAGACATTCAAGCATCCCTGAAAAATCACTGAAAGAATCTCACTGAAAAAAGTACACTACAGCTATAAATGAGGTGCTAGTAATTCAGCTATCATAAATCATAGAGACCTTGATTCCAAATATTGCTTTAATTTTTTTTTTGTTGGGACTCATCTGTGGGCTTCAACCCCTGAACATGTGGTATGTGTGGAAGGTAGCACTGGTGGGGTATTTGTTTGGATGATGAGAACGAATGCCAACAATCTTTTTCCACAAATGCAGTACGCTTTTTATGAATTTTCAAGAAAAATACCTTCAGATGCTTGTTTGGGATAAGTGAGACCACTAAAGGCAGGTTAATACTTAAACAGCTCAATAATGAGTCCAGCCAAATCAATTCAGAAGTAGAAATCTGTGAACGGCCTACGACTCTGAATGCCACAAAAGGCCTTTTACACAGATGCTTTCAGAAAAAAGCAGCTTCACTGCAGATGTTCTCACATGACTGCTTTGCAACCTCAGGTAGAACCATCAATCTAAGGTCATATGAGGACATTTCAAACACATTCATAATCAACATCACATTTTGTATCCCAATAATCATCACTCTTTCCTTGCTTTGCACTTGAATGAAGTCATGCTCTTTTTATTCTTTTTTTGGCGGGATATGGGAGTTTTTATGGTTATCACGGTGGAATTAGAACGTGTAATCATTGGGCAGAACATTTTAAGGATGTGAACAGCAAATCTGTTGGCACATTGACAGCTTAATGCTTTGCAGAGACTTCACCA